ATTCAGATGTCCCATCCTATAATGCCATAGCCAACTTTCCTCCTGTATTCCATACTTAAAGCATATAGACTTCCTCACATTCATGTCATATTTAAAGGTCCTATTAGCTGCCAATGGAGCCTTTAGAATTAACAAGCCATTACAGTCATAAATCCTCATACATTTGTCTTTCATATCAATACTATAATCTTTCTCAAGCAACTGCCCAATGCTAAGTAAATTATGCTTCATTTTAGGGACAAACAATACATCAAAAATGAGAGCATATTTACCATTCTTGCACTTAATCTGAATCTTGCCTATTCCTTCTGAGTTTATAGTGCTATTATCAGCAAATTTCACTGTACTCTTGGTGGTGTCATCTAGCTCCAAGAACCAGTCCTTCCTACAGGACATATGATTTGAGCATCCCGTGTCCAAATACCATACATTCTTCACAACTTTATCACCCTCTGAAGTAGTTGTTGTCATAAGCAACACCTCTTCCTCAACTGATCCTTCATTCTGAGCAGCCACATTTGCCTCTTCTTGTTTATCTCCAGACTGATCTCTGTACCAACACTCATAGGAGTAGTGCCCATATTTACTACAAACATAGCACTGCACATTGGATCTATCTTGTTTCTTCTGATTTTGTGCACCATGCCAATTTCCTCTTCCTCTTCTTGTGTTATAACCACCTCTGAATTGACCTCTCATTTTCCTCCTCTTGCACCCCTGAAACCTCCTCTTGAGTTAGTCGCATTCTGGAATTTATTTTCAGAGTTGTCATGTCCTCTGCCACCAAAGAAAGCTCCACGACCACCCCTTCTGCCTCTTCCTTGACCCCTCATACTTCCTCTTCCTCTTCCTCTTGAGGATTCTTGGTTCTTGGTGGATTGGGTCAAGAGGGCTTGGTCTGTGACAGACTGTACAACAGTCTCCCTTTCTTTTAGTCGTTGTTCATGAGCTTCTAATGTACCCTGTAGTTCTTCTATCTTGAGAGTATCCAAATCACGCCCTTCTTCTCTATTGACGGCAATAATATCAAACTTAGAGGGTAGGGTACGTAATACCTTCTCAATAATAGATCTTGGCTTTAACTCTTCTCCACAAGTCTTCATAAGATTGGTTATTTGTAGAATCCGATTCATGTATGTTGGAATAGTTTCTTGGTCCTCCATCCGCAGTAACTCATATTGACGCCTGAGAGTCTGAAGCCTCACCATCTTCAGTTTGGAAATACCAGCGTAGCTAGACTCAAGAATGGACCAAGCTTCCTTGGCTGAAGAAGCCGAGGCTATTTTTTCAAAATTCGCCTCATCCACACACTGATGGATGTAGAAAAGAGCCTTACAATCTCGTTTCTTGGCTTCTTTGTACTGCGCCCTCTGCGCTTCAGTCGCATTTGCCCCGATTTCAGGAATTCCTTCCTTTACGATATCAAGAACATCTTGAAATCCAAAAATTGTCTTCATTTTCACGCTCCATCATCCAAGTTCTTTGAGTCAAGCACTGGTAAGTTCCCAAGAATGTTACTACTTCCTTGCGCCATGATCATCGATCGCTGAAGCTCTGATACCACTGATAGGCTATGGCGATAGTTATTAGTTAGTTACAATATGAGAGAGAGAGTTAATATGGAAGCAAATCTAAAATTCTTATTACTGATTTAGGTATTTATACACGCAGTACAACAAGCTTATTACATTCCATATAATTGGGCCTGTTACAACTCCTAGCCCAGTCCACTGAGATTCTTATTACTTAACAAGCCGTACATTATTACATTCATAACTAATGTTGCACTCCATGTACTATGTGTCTCCAAAATGGGAAACATCCATGTTAGCGGTGGATAGAAATCCTATTTCTATGAACTCCAACATAGTATTCATGTTGCCAAGGATCATCTACAGTGTTGTATCACTTGAAAAGTGTCGTATCCATAATAAGATTTAGTAAGCCTAAAAACAGTGAAGACTTGTACGTTTTTTGCTATTCATAATTTGGACTTGAGTCGTGAATAAGATACAGGTCTATACGACTGAGTATTCACTTTAAACATACTTGATTCAAAATTTGGAAACGAATACAAATTTTTGTATGAAGACATTACAAGTCGAAGACTCAAGTCGACTATGTACACTAAGTCTCAACCAATTATAAAGTCAAACATTTTAACCTATTTGGATAGGGAACCCAATATCAAGGAGATTAATAGGGAGACTCCAATAAAATACATCGGTTTATTATGGAACAGGCTATAAATCTTCCGATTATTTAAGCCAATTCGTTAATGGGGAACGAATACAAGTCTCAACCCATTTCTATTATGAGTGATTGAAATGTCGAATACATTGGTATCATTACACATATGCCATCCATTAAAGATCATAAATGAGTTGGTCCCCCAAGTCCAATGGGTTATTTTCACAAATCATTATGACCAACCGAGTCCTATGTTACACAATTGCCTATTGAACATACTCAATTGTACACATTCATGAGTATTCCCTACACGTCTAAATCCCTCGGGTTATTGATAGAAAACTATCAATTGAATTCATAATTATGGACCAATGTCCGATTTATTGGAATAGTGTATGCAAAAATACGCAACGAGTCGTGTGAATAGTGATTTACACATATAATGTCATTATCACGGAATGAGAATTTCCGAGTCTTCGTGAGTATGCAATAGATGTAAGCCTGAAAATTACATAATTTGGACTTGAGCCAATCTTTCAGGATGTATATGAGTCGGTTGAACTAAACCCATTGATCTCAATGGGTTCCAGTCTTAAAATTGTCAAGCCTATGCAAAATTTAAGCCACCGACTCAATGAAATAAGGCTTTTCTCCTTACGAGAAAAGCTAAATCAACATCATATGATCTCATTGTATGTTCCAAAAAGAAATACGAGTCGTATAGCCAACCCGTACACAGAAATAGTGTTTGACATATTTTCACTATACAAGTGAATTTATACTACAAATAGGTATACTTACATCTATAGGTGTAATTCAAATCAATGATCATTTAGTATTATGAGATCACTATTTATACTTGAAATAGTTCATTGTATCACATTTTGGTCCAATTATATAAATAGGATACCCATTTGTAGACATTTCGATACTAATTTCAAGTGTAATATACCGTAGTTATGTCAAAGCTCCATACCCATCTACCACCCAATCATACATTGTACCATGGGTATTACCCAGGTTACAATACGGTAAAATCCATACTATTGCCTCATATATTGAATTTCACATAGTACTAAAAAAACACCGAATTTCTTGTATCCCTATATACATTGTATTAAATAATTTATCAAAAATTCACGAAAAAATATCTCAAGTCCATACTGTATTATCTCACTCGAAAATTTTAGTATGGGAAAAAAACACAAGTAGACTGGGAATTGTGACATATGAACCATTGTAAGTCAAAATTATCGGGAAATGAAATGCAAGTTGCTAAATATGTGGTCTACTATTAGTTGATTAATAGACAGTTGTTAGGGTAAATCAAAGTACGTATGTCGCAATTGAGTGTACCCGAGGGTTAGAATGAATATCTGGTCATTTCGTATAAACAAATGATCAAGTTACTAAATTAACTGAGGGTATGTACACTAATGGGTAAGTTAATGTAACCCCATTATAGCTAGGTAATCTATAATCCATTCCGAAATTATGTAAATTGGTCCAAATATTTGTTAGGACAAAGATTGACATTAATAATCTATACAGGTATAAAATTGATAATATCGGCTTGTATGGTATTCTCATCTTGTATAACATATGTCTATTGCTTTCAACATTGTGTACTATAATCCACGTAGTACCATACAGCTTAAGTAACCCTATATACTATGATTTAATCCAATATGAGTGTATTTAGGTATTTACATAGATACCTAAATTTATACAATCCTTTAAATACTATTTTCCCATTCCAAGATTAAACTTCATAGGATAATGTAATTATAAGACAAATGTCATCTCAAAAATCCCATTGATACAGTGGAGACCATACAAGTCTCCAATGAACACACTAGTGATCTCATTTAGTGTTTTCAGTCGAAATTATGTACACAATAATTAAAGTTCTAACTTTAGTCTTACTTAATATATGACTTAATGTAATACCATTTAACGCTGGTATTCAATAAGTTCGTCAACAATTCGGACTTAAATTTTAGGCTTACATTTCTATTCGACTTGTAATACGACTTACAAAAATACACGAAGATTGGCTTCACTAAAGTTAAGCCATTGCACAATAATTGACCAATCTTCACAATTGTGTGTACATACTGATCAGGGATTGCAAATACGTGAATCATCGTGAGTATTAGAAAGCCAACTCGCGATTAAATTACATACTGACAGGAGAACTTACTATGGGTATACGGCATATTTATAGAAATATTCGGGTATGAAACACCCTATGAATTGTCAAACATAAGGTTTTCCCATAATGTTGATTTATGTCAAGTTATATTATACTACAATATAACTTGTACCGAATAGTACACTGGTACATTCAATATGACAATTATTTCGAAATGAGATCATGCGATGTCGTATACTATGGACTAGTGGGATGTCTATATATACTATTTTGAAGTATGGTTATGGGTTATAAATATGATCAGTAGCAAATTGGATCATTTATTATGGGCATTCTCAATAGTCCCCATACTTGTACCTACTGGGTAGAAAACCCATATCCTGTTAAACATACACTTTGTATATTGTATGTTTTTGTGTCGTCATGCACCGATATTCTCATTCAAGTTGATGGGTCGGTTAAATGATAGTGTTTACTGTTCAACTATTGATTATATATTGTTAAGAAAGGGTTATAGCTGTTGTTACATGGATATAACATAAGCTACATGGACTAATGATGCGTACAAGTGTAATTTTCACGAGTTAACAGGATTACAATATATTATTATCATTAGTATCAAGTGAAGATAATCGGTATAATATGTATAATCTAAGTCGAGATGTGTAAAAGGTTGTATAATTGGTATACCCAAAGACATATTACAAGAATACGTGTTGTAATCTAATTGCACGTAGTGTTTGGGGAAATACATGTACCATTGTCACGCCCCAGACCGCAATCCAAGCGCGTGTACAACCGCCGCATAATCAAGTGACGTCACCCGCGAGTCAACCTCACTTGATTACACAAGGCGTTCGAGAAAATAATCCTTCCATACTCAGTGGTAAACATACATAACAACATCACATTTAAACCAATGAATAGCGGAAATATTCAACGGTAAGTCATAAGCCACAACCGGCCAATATCATGGGCATGCAAGCCCCAAAAGAATAGTTTATGACAATAAAAATATCCATGAGCAATGTTTGGTAATTTGAAATAAAATGAGGAAGCACGAACCACGTCTTCCTTGATTGATGTCACCCGTAGAAAGGTGCAGGTAGTAAGCCCTAGCTTCAACCTGAAAATGGTGGGGCCCCCCGAAGGGGTCAGTACAAGTACCGAGCGAGTAGCAGGCTAAATATAGAATAACTAGCGTTTCAAGTATAAGACCCAAACATAGGATGATACATATACGTATAGTCCTTCCCCCAAGTTTGAAATACATATTAGTATACATACACTTGGAAATACCCGACCCGTAGGTCATTGTTTATTTGGGAAAATAATAGTAGTCAATATCCTTGACTTAAATCCCAACCCACCCATATACCTATGAGTGTATAGAACTCCTCCTTGGTCAAATAAATTATCATAAGGACACCGCCCGGTCCTAGATCATTATATGTAATCTATGAGTTTTGAGGATACACACCCGATCCTTGGGTACTCCACCCTATAACCGAGTTTTGAGGATAACCGCCCGATCCTTGGGTACTCCACCCTATATAACCGAGTTTTGAGGATAACCGCCCGATCCTTGGGTACTCCACCCTATATAACCGAGTTTTGAGGATAACCGCCCGATCCTTGGGTACTCCACCCTATATAACCGAGTTTTGAGGATAACCGCCCGATCCTTGGGTACTCCACCCTATATAACCGAGTTTTGAGGATAACCGCCCGATCCTTGGGTACTCCACCCTATATAACCGAGTTTTGAGGATAACCGCCCGATCCTTGGGTACTCCACCCTATATAACCGAGTTTTGAGGATAACCGCCCGATCCTTGGGTACTCCACCCGACCTATGACTTACCACATATCACACTAGATAGGGTCTATATCATATTTAGCCATTCATAACTAATTCAATACATAAAACTTATGTATCACATTCCATGCAAAGCCATGCAATTATGTAAATGTATAATTAATTAATATCAACCGATATTAATTAATCCATTATCCACCGGTCAACGTTGTCGTTGACCGCCATTTCAAACCTTGTACAAATCAACTTAATCGTCATATAATTAAGTTAAAATATTCATTTGTGCTTCTTATACACTTCAAGAAAATATGCATTTTATATAATTCTTCATATCATATTCTATGCATAAACAATCTATTTCTTTCATACCAATTTAACCCTATTGGCTAATCACATGTTTAAATATCTTTTAAACATCATTATGAACTCATATAACATTTATTTAGGTAATCTTATAATTAACCCAAAAGTTATAAGATATTAAGCCGTCCACTCACCTTGAACTAGCGTTATGAAGTTCTACCCTTCTTGGTTGAACTCCGGTGAAACTCCGGCGAATTTTGGTCAACTCCGGCGACAACTCCGGCGACCTTTCCAACTTTGTGAAATCACTTGAAATACCCTTTACAAGTTCCTAACAAGGTTTTATAGTCATAAAACCCATGTTAATACAAATAACCTCAAAAAGGTTATTTTCCGGTGAACCGGTAGTTTTGGCCTCTAAGTCCGTTCTTGGACATAGAACCATCCTCCAACCCATGAATCCACCCTTATAACATATGGAACCATAATAAAGGTTCTTCACATGATATATACTTCATATGGTAGAAGAAAAATAAAGGAAAAGTTAATATGAGGTCATTACCTTTATTATTCACACTTTTCCTAGATTTTTCCTTCTCAAATCTTCCTCCTTGGACCTCTATGGCTTGAGCTCGAGTTGCAGCAATGGAGAGTGTTTTGAGAGTTCAATTTTCTTCTTCTTGGAGGGGTTGGTCGAGCACAAGGATGAGGAAAGAGGTAGGAAGTGTCCTCCTTTGTCTTAGTTGACAAATAATGTGTGTGGGTGAGGTCCACACCTCAAATGATCCCATTCCAATCAATTTAGCTTCATCTTCACATGTTGTGCGGCCACACAAGTCCCATTTGAGACCCAAAAAACGTGGGGTGGCCCCCACTCATGTGGGAGGTCATCCCAACTTGTCCCGAAATGTACAATCGGCCCCGAAAGTTGTATTTTTTTGGACTGTTTTAGATATATTTTATTTTATCGGGTCCAATAAAATATATTACGTGTTCCCAATCGTAATGGCCTTTTGAAATAATATATATTCCATAACATTAATTTAGAAGTCTCCGAAATTCATTTTCGGGCTGTTATCTGTTAAATTGTCGGTACCGGTATTTGGGCTTCTTTTGACCAATCGGTCAACCCCAGGCCTTCCCATGGCTCAAATAAGATGTCCACCACAATATAAATATTATTTTGACCCATAAGAATAATTTATGCGATCTCGGGAATATCGGGCGGCCCCCGCTCCCGGTGTGGGTCCCACGTGCAATTTACTATTCACGCGAAAGAAATAATAAAAATTTACAACTTTGTAAATTCATTAATCCTTTAATAAGGTTCACTACATTATTTACATAAAAGTAAATATATTTGGGGACGGTGTTACAAGTTCACCCCCCCTTATTTGGGATTTCGTCCCCGAAATCCAAGTATCTAATCGAAAAGAAATGGGTATTGCTCCCTCATTGAGACCTCGGTCTCCCAAGTTTCTTCTTCGACTCGATCACTCCTCCAAAGAACCTTTACCATAGGAATCTCCTTATTCCTAAGCTTCTTCACTTGTTGACCAACAATCTTCATTGGTTCCACCGCATATTGCAAGTCCTCACGGACCTCTACCGGTGGTTTCTCAAGAATATGAGATGGGTCTCGTATGTACTTCTTGAGCATCGATACATGAAACACGTCATGTATCTTCTCAAGTTCCGGTGTCAACTTGAGACGATAAGCCACGGCTCCAATCCTTTCAAGGATTTCAAATGGACCAATGTATCGGGGGTTAAGCTTTCCCCTCGATACAAATCGAATGATGCCCTTCCAAGGAGAAATCCTTAGGAAGACCTCATCACCGACTTCGAACTCCAACGGTCTCCGCCGTTTATCAGCATAACTCTTCTGTCGGTCCTGAGCAGCCTTCAATCTATCCCGAATGATCCTTACCTTGGCCTTGGTGATCTCAACCAGCTCTATCCCTTCGAGTTTGGCCTCGCCAACCTCGTCCCAACACAACGGTGTTCTGCACTTCCTCCGATACAATGCCTCGTATGGAGGCATGCCAATACTTGCTTGATAACTGTTGTTATAAGCAAACTCCACTAGAGCCAAATGTTTGTCCCAACTTCCTTGGAACTCCAAGGCACATGCTCTGAGCATATCTTCCAAAACCTGTATCACCCGCTCGGACTGTCCATCCGTCTGTGGGTGAAAAGCTGTGCTAAACTTCAGTTTAGTACCCAACGATGCTTGAAACTTTGGCCAAAATCGGGATGTGAATCGTGGATCCCTATCCGAGACAATGGATATTGGGACTCCATGTAATCTCACGATCTCCTCCGTGTATAGCTTGGCCAATCTTTCAAGGGGATAAGTAATGTTGATAGGCAGAAAGTGTGCACTCTTGGTGAGCCTATCAACTACCACCCATACTGCATCATAGTTGTTCACTGTTCGTGGTAGCCCCACCACGAAGTCCATGGTCACGTGCTCCCACTTCCACTCTGGGATGGTGAGTGGCTGCAAAAGCCCTGCCGGGTGCTGATGCTCTGCCTTGACTTGCTGGCAAGTAAGGCACCGACTCACATACTCAGCAATGTCCCTCTTCATACCTGGCCACCAGTAACTTTCCTTCAAATCTCGGTACATCTTAGTACCTCCCGGATGCATAGCATAAGCTGAAGAATGAGCCTCCTCAAGTATAGATTTCTGGAGTTCCTCATTCCTTGGTATGCACACACGATCCTTAAACAATAACAGACCGTCATCACGTACCCGGAAGTTCTCAACGGGCCCCGCAAGGATCCTTTCACGGATCTTCTGACATTCCTCATCCATGGCCTGACTTCGACTAATCTCGCCCAATAGGGTGGGCCTGACCTCAAATTGAGCAATGAGAGCCCCGCACGTGGACACCTCCACGCGTGCCCTCAATGCCTGCAGACAAGTAAGTAACGTCCCTGACGTACTCTTCCTGCTCAGTGCGTCGGCCACTACGTTGGCCTTTCCTGGATGGTACTCGATGATCAAGTCATAGTCCTTGATCAACTCCATCCATCTCCTCTGTCTCATATTCAACTCTTTCTGAGTGAATACGTACTTCAAGCTCTTATGGTCTGTAAAAATGTGACATGTCTCCCCGTAGAGATAATGCCTCCAGATTTTCAGTGCAAACACTACCGCCCCCAATTCTAGGTCATGGGTAGGGTAGTTCACCTCGTGCTTTCTCAATTGCCTTGAAGCATAGGCAATCACTTTACCGTTTTGCATCAGTACACATCCAAGCCCTTGGATGCTAGCATCACTGTATATATCATACCCTATCCCTTGTATGGGTAGGGCAAGGACTGGTGCTTCGGTAAGTCGTTTCTTCAGTTCAAGGAACCCTTTCTCACACTTGTCGTCCCATATGAACTTGGCCCCTTTCTTTGTGAGCTTCGTTAATGGAGACGCCAATACAGAAAATTTTTCAACAAATTTACGATAGTATCCTGCTAAGCCAAGGAAACTACGTATCTCTTTCACATTCTTGGGTCTCTCCCAATCCATGATAGCCTTTATCTTGGCGTTATCCACAGCAACGCCCGAACCGGATATGACGTGACCGAGAAAACCAATCTCCTTGAGCCAAAATTCGCATTTAGAGAACTTGGCAAAGAGTTGTTTTTCCCTTAGTCGATCAAGTATAAGCCCCAAGTGATGTTCGTGCTCCTCTTCACTCTTGGAGTATATTAAGATGTCGTCAATGAATACTTTCACAAATTGATCTAAGTATTCATTAAATACACGGTTCATCAAGTCCATGAATGCCGCCGGTGCGTTGGTTAAACCAAACGACATCACAAGGAATTCGTAATGACCATATCTAGTGCGAAATGCACTCTTAGGTATGTCACTCTCCTTGATCTTCAACTGATGATACCCCGACCTCAAGTCAATCTTCGAGAACACTATTGCCCCTCGAAGTTGATCGAACAAGTCATCAATCCTCGGTAAGGGATACCTGTTCTTGATGGTGACCTTGTTCAACTGTCGGTAGTCGATACACATTCTTAGTGTACCATCTTTCTTCTTCACGAAGAGTACGGGTGCCCCCCACGGTGAATGACTGGGTCTGATGAACCCGTTGTCCAGTAATTCTTGTAGTTGGACCTTCAACTCTTGGAGTTCGGCCGGCGCCATTCGATAAGGAGGAATCGAAATGGGTTTGGTTCCCGGCTCTACTTCAATTACAAACTCTATCTCTCTATCGGGTGGAAGCCCCGGTAGGTCTTTGGGAAAGACATCCGGGTATTTGCACACGACCCGTACATCTTTGATGTCGACTTCCTTCTTGGTATCGTCCACCACGTAGGCAAGGTATGCGTGGCATCCCTTCCTCATCATCTTCCGTGCCCTCATCACGGATATTATACAAGCATTAGATTTCCCCCGATCTCCCTCGAAACATAGCGTGTTTCCTTGATCATCCTCGAGCTCTAACACCTTGGTGTAGCAATCTACTCGAGCATGGTGTTTCTCGAGCCAATCCATTCCTAGGATTGCATCGAACTCCAACATGCTTAGAGGTACGAAATCACAAGTCAAAGGTTGACCCGTCACTTCCACCTCACATGATGGATAGTAATGATTTCTCTCCACGTCGTCTCCCAACGGTGTGGAGACTAGCAATGTTTGTGTCATAGGCGTCAATGGCACGTCGAGCCCCTCGGCAAACGCCTCACTCACAAATGAGCGTTGTGCCCCCGGTATCGATGAGGATCCTCGCACACCTACCATTGATCTTTAATGTTCCTACATTTATACACCATGTAAGATACCTTTTCTAATGTTTTTACACATCTTTAGGAGGTTATTAGGTTCATACTAATGTTTGGAATCAAACGGGGATCCAAACGTAGGAGAACGGGGCGAAAAAAATCAAGTTTCGGGTGCCTGGGGTCCACGCACGGCGTGCCTGGGTGGCACGCACGGTCGTGCGTGCGTGAGAAATTCGGAATCCGCCACTGCCGGCTACGCACGATCGTGCGTAGCTGGTCACGCACGATCGTGCGTCCCACGCACGGCGTGCCTTCCCTGCACGCACGGCGTGCGTCTGCGCGGAAAACGGCCAGAGGCTGCTGCCTCGTACGCACGGTCGTGCGTCTGTAGGTACGCGCGATCGCGCGTAGTTGTTTTTAGCCCGTTTCGCCCCGAATTCGCGGGGTTTGACCCCGGGGTGGCCCGCACCCAAACCCAATGACTCGTACGACCCAAATAAGCCTAGAAATACAGGAAAGTAAGTGTATTACCTGCAACGGAGTCCGGGTTTGCTCGCGCATCCGCCTCGGTCATTGCGTACACTCGTGTTTGGGTCCCACATTGGTTGCCGAACATAGCGTTGCTCGTCGTTGGTCCCGTATGGTTTCCTTCCACGGTGAGCCCTTCATCGGCTTGCGATGTTTCTCGTTGTCTCCTCCATGGGCAGCTTAATTTCATATGGGTTGTGCTCCCACATTCGTAGCACATCGGGGGCTCGATGCACTTCCCGAAATGCTTCTTAGAGCAATTCGAACATTTGGATGATCTTAAAGAGTAAGGAAAGGACGTATGCCACTTTGAGTTCCTTTTCTTTTTTACCGGTGATGCTGGTGCCGTAAAAGTGCTTTCTCCTCCTTGGTCGTTTGCCCAAGGATGGGTTTGACTGACAGTCATATCACGTTGGGAGGTGGCCCGATCTCGCCTAGCCTGACGCCTACGTTCGTTTCTCCTGGTGTTCATGTTACACATCGAGCCCACGTGACTAGCGCTTGCCGCTTGGCGACCCTCGCGGCCCTCGCGGCCCCCATGACCTATTCCTCTCCTCGTAAAGGCTCGCGACACAGCCCGGCTATCCTCAAGGTAAGCTACCGGCGCTTGTCCCTTAGGGTCAATTCTTGTTGCCATTCGCCTACCCTCCATTTCTGAAACGGAATTTGGACGAGTCTTTAGACTCCTATAAATGTCAGTTGACGGAAAAACGTTATAGACACGTATTGACCCAAGTCACCACCATACCAATTGTTAAGGGTACCGTCTTAACAATTAGAGGCCTTGCAACTTAAGCACCAATAGTCCTATAAACGTCAAAATACAATGCTCATGGTTTTCGGTAAAAACTCTTTTGTAAAATCTTTTGTGAGAGGTTGATTATATAGTTTAGAACTGAGATGGCTCTGATACCACTTAATTGTCACGCCCCAGACCGCAATCCAAGCGCGTGTACAACCGCCGCATAATCAAGTGACGTCACCCGCGAGTCAACCTCACTTGATTACACAAGGCGTTCGAGAAAATAATCCTTCCATACTCAGTGGTAAACATACATAACAACATCACATTTAAACCAATGAATAGCGGAAATATTCAACGGTAAGTCATAAGCCACAACCGGCCAATATCATGGGCATGCAAGCCCCAAAAGAATAGTTTATGACAATAAAAATATCCATGAGCAATGTTTGGTAATTTGAAATAAAATGAGGAAGCACGAACCACGTCTTCCTTGATTGATGTCACCCGTAGAAAGGTGCAGGTAGTAAGCCCTAGCTTCAACCTGAAAATGGTGGGGCCCCCCGAAGGGGTCAGTACAAGTACCGAGCGAGTAGCAGGCTAAATATAGAATAACTAGCGTTTCAAGTATAAGACCCAAACATAGGATGATACATATACGTATAGTCCTTCCCCCAAGTTTGAAATACATATTAGTATACATACACTTGGAAATACCCGACCCGTAGGTCATTGTTTATTTGGGAAAATAATAGTAGTCAATATCCTTGACTTAAATCCCAACCCACCCATATACCTATGAGTGTATAGAACTCCTCCTTGGTCAAATAAATTATCATAAGGACACCGCCCGGTCCTAGATCATTATATGTAATCTATGAGTTTTGAGGATACACACCCGATCCTTGGGTACTCCACCCTATAACCGAGTTTTGAGGATAACCGCCCGATCCTTGGGTACTCCACCCTATATAACCGAGTTTTGAGGATAACCGCCCGATCCTTGGGTACTCCACCCTATATAACCGAGTTTTGAGGATAACCGCCCGATCCTTGGGTACTCCACCCTATATAACCGAGTTTTGAGGATAACCGCCCGATCCTTGGGTACTCCACCCTATATAACCGAGTTTTGAGGATAACCGCCCGATCCTTGGGTACTCCACCCTATATAACCGAGTTTTGAGGATAACCGCCCGATCCTTGGGTACTCCACCCTATATAACCGAGTTTTGAGGATAACCGCCCGATCCTTGGGTACTCCACCCGACCTATGACTTACCACATATCACACTAGATAGGGTCTATATCATATTTAGCCATTCATAACTAATTCAATACATAAAACTTATGTATCACATTCCATGCAAAGCCATGCAATTATGTAAATGTATAATTAATTAATATCAACCGATATTAATTAATCCATTATCCACCGGTCAACGTTGTCGTTGACCGCCATTTCAAACCTTGTACAAATCAACTTAATCGTCATATAATTAAGTTAAAATATTCATTTGTGCTTCTTATACACTTCAAGAAAATATGCATTTTATATAATTCTTCATATCATATTCTATGCATAAACAATCTATTTCTTTCATACCAATTTAACCCTATTGGCTAATCACATGTTTAAATATCTTTTAAACATCATTATGAACTCATATAACATTTATTTAGGTAATCTTATAATTAACCCAAAAGTTATAAGATATTAAGCCGTCCACTCACCTTGAACTAGCGTTATGAAGTTCTACCCTTCTTGGTTGAACTCCGGTGAAACTCCGGCGAATTTTGGTCAACTCCGGCGACAACTCCGGCGACCTTTCCAACTTTGTGAAATCACTTGAAATACCCTTTACAAGTTCCTAACAAGGTTTTATAGTCATAAAACCCATGTTAATACAAATAACCTCAAAAAGGTTATTTTCCGGTGAACCGGTAGTTTTGGCCTCTAAGTCCGTTCTTGGACATAGAACCATCCTCCAACCCATGAATCCACCCTTATAACATATGGAACCATAATAAAGGTTCTTCACATGATATATACTTCATATGGTAGAAGAAAAATAAAGGAAAAGTTAATATGAGGTCATTACCTTTATTATTCACACTTTTCCTAGATTTTTCCTTCTCAAATCTTCCTCCTTGGACCTCTATGGCTTGAGCTCGAGTTGCAGCAATGGAGAGTGTTTTGAGAGTTCAATTTTCTTCTTCTTGGAGGGGTTGGTCGAGCACAAGGATGAGGAAAGAGGTAGGAAGTGTCCTCCTTTGTCTTAGTTGACAAATAATGTGTGTGGGTGAGGTCCACACCTCAAATGATCCCATTCCAATCAATTTAGCTTCATCTTCACATGTTGTGCGGCCACACAAGTCCCATTTGAGACCCAAAAAACGTGGGGTGGCCCCCACTCATGTGGGAGGTCATCCCAACTTGTCCCGAAATGTACAATCGGCCCCGAAAGTTGTATTTTTTTGGACTGTTTTAGATATATTTTATTTTATCGGGTCCAATAAAATATATTACGTGTTCCCAATCGTAATGGCCTTTTGAAATAATATATATTCCATAACATTAATTTAGAAGTCTCCGAAATTCATTTTCGGGCTGTTATCTGTTAAATTGTCGGTACCGGTATTTGGGCTTCTTTTGACCAATCGGTCAACCCCAGGCCTTCCCATGGCTCAAATAAGATGTCCACCACAATATAAATATTATTTTGACCCATAAGAATAATTTATGCGATCTCGGGAATATCGGGCGGCCCCCGCTCCCGGTGTGGGTCCCACGTGCAATTTACTATTCACGCGAAAGAAATAATAAAAATTTACAACTTTGTAAATTCATTAATCCTTTAATAAGGTTCACTACATTATTTACATAAAAGTAAATATATTTGGGGACGGTGTTACAACCATACTCACGGTGAACTTATATTGGGACAGTATAAATGTGTTACATGTTATACATTTTATAGTATAACTATTAAATCGTCTATACGTATTAATAGTTTGTACGTGTTAATTACGTATTCTATATGAAAACATTACAATGTTTTTGAAGACTTCACTATATTCCCTGTACATCTAATCGCCTGTGATCATACGATCTTATCAAAATATTATGAATTGAAATTACCCAATAATTTCGTAGAATACACAAAGTATAACACTAATGTTGTTATGAGGTGATTCCAGCTCAGGTCTTCGATTTACATCCACAAAGGATGTCAATTAACACCACTAGAGTCAAGAAGAGGAGAATTGGGCATCAACCAGCTAATCTATTCTGCCCTAGGTTTAATTTCTTCCACAAAGGAGTAGCAGAGAAGAAGGGTTCGGCCAACCCATTGGCAGAGAAGAGAATGGTATAAATAGACCAAGCAATTGATTATAGAAGGTAACTTACCTTCATGAGATTAACTTCCAAACAGACCGAAGATGCTGAAGGTAAGAATCGCGCAGGAGCCGAAGAAGGAAATAGCCGATTAGCAAAGATGCGTAATTCAAAACTCAGGGACCGGTTGGGAGCAAATGGGAAATGGGTCGGGTACTCCTCTTTGGGCTTAAGAATAAATGGACCAATACCAACAAATCCTCCACCTTATTGGACCCTAGTGGTGTAGAGCACAACGCTCTAAAACAATTTGAGACTCATCATCGCTGGATTGCCCGAATAATCACAAAGACATATTCAGGCAAAAGGGGTAAGTTCACCAGGCAACTTATCCGCAATCAATGTTTAACGTGCGTTTGCACGACAGCAACTTTTCGACCGAGAGACATTTAGTCCCCATGTCAGCAGGATTAAATTCCGATGGAATTCTAATCAACTTGATATGACCTGCACTAACAATATCACGTATAAAATGAAATCTAACATCAATGTGCTTAGTTCTATCATGAAAAACAGGGTTTTTACACAATTGAATAGCAGATTGACTATCAGAAAACACACAAATATCCTGCTTAAGGCTACCAATCTCCGTTAGGAGACGTTTAAGCCAAATGGCTTCCTTAAACGCTTCGGTAGCGGCCACATACTCCGACTCAGTGGTGGAAAGGGCTACTATGGGTTGAAGTTGAGACTTCCAACTAATGCAAGACCCACAAAGAGTAAACACATAAGAGGTAGTGGATTTCCTATTGTCTCTATCATTAGCAAAATTAGAATCCACATACCCACTCAACTTAACCCCCTCAGAACACCTAGTGAAAACCAACCCATGATTAACAGAAGATTTCAAATACCTAAGCAACCACTTAAGAGCATTCCAATGATCTAAACCAGGATTAGACATATACCTACTCAAGCAACTAACAGCATAGGCAATGTCGGGTCTAGTACTCACCATGAGATACATCACGGACCCAATAGCATTGGAATAAGGCACAGATTTCATTTTAGCAATTTCAGGAGCAGTCTTGGGAGACTGATCCTTACTTAACACAAAGTGAGACGCCATCGGGATAGAAACGGGAGTAGCAGAATGCATGTTATATTTACTCAAAATCTTTTCAATGTATGAAATCTGATTGAGAACTAACACACGCTTACTCCTATCCCTAACAATGTTAATGCCTAGGATCCTTTTGGCATCACCTAGGTCTTTCATAGCAAAGTTCTCACTGAGACGCTTTTGCACACATTTAATGGCGTCACCCGAAGGACTCACAATAAGCATATCATCCACATATAGCAATAAAAATACAGGCACAGAAGAAGTATTTTTAAAGTATAGGCAATGGTCGCATTCGGACTTGTGAAATTTCAAAGATGACATGCACTGGTCAAATTTGATATTCCACTGCCTCGGGGACTGCTTCAGGCCGTACAAGGCCTTCCTAAGCAAACACACATGATCACTCTTCATGGGATCCACAAAGCCCTCAGGCTGCGACATATAGATTTTCTTATCTAAATCACCATGCAAGAATGCAGTGGTGACGTCCATTTGCTTCATTTCCCAATCATTATGAGCAACAAGAGCAAGCATCATTCTAATCGTAGTAAATTTAACTACAGGAGCAAAGATTTCAGCATAATCAACACCTTCCTTTTGAGTAAATCCCTTAGCTACTAACCTAGCCTTATATCTAATGTCGTTAGGCTCTTCCTTAACCTTAAATAGCCACTTACAGGCAACAATGGAACTATTGGGCGGTCTAGGAACTAACGTCCAAGTCTTATTCGCTCTAAGTGACTCCATCTCACTTTCCATGGCGCAAAGCCATTTAGCGGACTCATTAGACTTAAGGGCCTCTCTATAGGTTCTAGGTTCGTTAAGCTCAAGGGTCTCAAACACAGAGAAAGCAAACATAGAAGTATCACACATATGGAAAGCATAATCAGGCATACTATCAGCAGTTCTCCTAATTACTCTCCTACTTCTATCTCTAGCAAGTTGATAATCATGCAAATCATTCTCACTAGCATCCGCACTCTCATCATGCGATTCATTGTCATTTGAATGCACACGAGAATGCTCCACCTCACTCGAAGTGGTGGTAGTATCATGCTCAGAAGAATCAGAATCATGCAATTCAGAAGAATTAGAATCATGCAAAACAACATTATCATGATTAGCAAACAAAGGGCTAGCAGCACGTGGTATGGACTCCACCTCAACGGGTGTACTACTAGGATCAGACTCAGACTCAGGAACTGACTTAACCAGACAAGGAAACTCGGATTCATTGAAAACAACGTTTCTACTCACCACAACTTTGAAACCTACCTGGTTCCTATCCCAAACCCTATACCCCTTCACACCCTCGGGATAACCTAGGAAGACTCCTTTCTTAGACCTAGGATCCAACTTGTCACCTTGTTGGTGCACATACGCTGCACACCCAAACACTCTAAGATTAGACAAATCAAGGGGTTTGTTTGAAAAAACAGATTCAGGGCACTTCCCACCCAAGGGAACAGAAGGAGACCGGTTAATCAAGTAGACAGCAGTGTTAACTGCTTCACCCCAAAACTTTTTAGACAAACCGGCGGTAGCAAGCATACTCCTAACCTTATCTAGAACAGTCCTATTCATCCTCTCGGCTATCCCATTTTGTTGGGGAGTATAGGGCACAGTTTTGTGCTTTCTAATCCCACAATCAACACACAGTTGGTCCATATCCTTATTGCAAAACTCTAGACCATTATCTGTCCTAAGGGTTTTGACCTTCTTACCAGTTTGATTTTCTACAAGGTTTTTCCACTCCCTAAACTTCACAAAGACATCGGACTTATGCTCAAGGAGACGGACCCACACCTTCCTAGAAAAATCATCAATGATGGACAGAAAATATCTCTTACCCCCGTGGGTAGAGACACTAGCAGGACCCCACACATCAGCATGAACATACTCTAACACAGAGGTACACTTAGTAGGATTAGGATATGGGGAGGAGGGGAATGTAACCTTATGCTGCTTGCCTAACACACAAGATTCACAGAAGGGGATGAGGGACACAGAATCCTTACCAAAACAACCAGATTTATGCAAAATCTCTAAACCCCTATTACTCATGTGTCCTAATCTATTATGCCACAAAGCAGATTTATCAGAACTAACAACATGAGCAGAATCACAGAAAGGCTGAGCATGGCACACATACAAGTTATTCACCTTTTTTGCCTTAAACAAAACAAGGGAATTTTTTAAAACTTTCATGCACCCATTACCCCATTTACCCTCTAATCCACTACCCTCAAAAGCAGCGACAGAAAACAAGTTATGACGCAAATCAGGAACATGCCTCACATTTTTCATAGTAAACACAGTCCCATTATCAAACTTTAAACATACATCACCCACCCCATGTATTTTGCATTTCTTATTATCAGCAAGAGACACAAAACCATCATTGCAAGAATCATAAGAAGCAAACAAGGATCTAAAAGGTGTCATATGATAAGTACAACCAGAGTCAATCAACCACTCATTTTCAGTCATGCTACTCAACACAGAATTGGCAGAATCACAAATCATAAAAACTTCTTCATGCAAGTTATTATCATCTACCACATTAGCATGTTCAGACTTCTTCGGATGGGGACAATCCTTAATGAAGTGACTAGAATTACCACAATTATAGCACACTCTCTTCTTAGACTTACCTCTCTTCTTCCCCGGGTCATTGTTTTTGTTCTTATCGTTGTTGCCCTTCTTATGGTTTCTAGATCTACTCTTAGACCTACCCCTCACAAACAACGCTTCACCAGAGTCCCTAGACTGACTGT